ATCCACTGAATTTGGAGTGTCCTTTAAAGAAGAAACAGTGGGGAACAAGCAGGACATGGGGGCAGGCTGAGTCCCTCAGATAGTGCAGGTATGATGGACCAGAGAAGGGCTGAGGGGAGGAGAGGCAGGAGAGGGAAAGGAGGTCTGGGTGTCAACTAAGGACGGGTCTGGGTGTCAAAGGAGAGAGGTAAGACTGGGGGAGGGTGATGAGAGCTGGGAAGCCAGGTCCATGTCATGGAGCAGATGAGGAGCAGGACACAGGCTCATTTCAATTCAAGACCCATTAAGTGTTAATTCTCCTTAGGGAAGTTTGAATTAAAAATGGGGCAGGGAAAGCTGCTGGATCCATAGGCGTGGAAACATAGGATTTACTGTGTAATTCTGAGGGCTTCCCAGTCATTCCTTCTCACCAAGCATTTGCAGACACTGTGCACACCACCCAGGAGAAACCCTAGAAACCCTGCACTCTAGGTCAGCTGGGGCAAGGTGCAGAGAATGCCCTTACCTTTCTTTGGGCTAATAGATCTGTAAGTGATGCTGGGAAACCATAAAGGATCTCCTTTCCATCCACTCCCAGGAAGCAGAGCTATCTGCTTGAAACTCTTGCAAAGTTTTGGGCTGGAAACGTTGCACCAACAGTGAGCAGCTGAGTCACTGAGCGCAAGTGGGATCCTCCTGCCATTCCTTCATTGCCTTCTCTACCCTGGGGCAATACAGTCTTCATTTGCTTTCTTTTTTTTCTTTCCTTTTTTTTATTTTCTATAGAACTAAAGTTTCTGAAAGTGACTGCCTAAGAGCACTTACAAGAACCAGGGTGCTGCTCTGAAAGCTCCCTGTCTCCCCAACCCGTGACCCTGCAATGCTTCCCAGACCTGATCTGCAGCATCCTCTGCTCATCCAGTCCTAAATCATGACATCCTGCTTGCCTTACTGTGGTCTGGCTTGTAACGTACCCACCGCACACTACCCCCATACAGTCCAGTCCTCAGGCCAGGGCCAGCTGGATGATATTCTCCTGCAATTTGATCTCCCTATGAGGTACGCTGTCCTTCTGCTCCAGAGCTGAGCGGGCTGCCCAGCACACCCTGCCTCAAGACCTCGCTCTACATCATTGCTGATCTTGCAGTACCAGGACAGAGACTTCCCTCTTCAGCAGATCAAGGGCCCTGGCTGGATCTCCCTCCTTCTCTGCAGATCCCTCCTCCAAGGCTGTTCCAGATCCCCACCATAATCCTGGCCAAACTCCTTAGACCCACTTTGCAATGACCCCAGGCCATCTCCTTGCTCAGCCTATGAAAACTGGGCTTTGTGGTCCCTACATGTCCCACTCTGCCACTGTCCCACATCTCTGCAACCTGACATGCTACTCCAGGGCTTGGGGCACTGTGGGTGAGAAGAAAGAGGGACCTGTCCATTGCTTCCCAGGCTGGAAGGGTTTATCACCTGTGCCCCAACGACTGACGTACCTGCTGGCCCTTCAACACCACCCTCTCCACCTCACGTCACCTGGTGCCCGACCCTCTTCGGATGCCCCCACTGAGCCATGATGGCTTTCTGAAGGAGTTGCTCCCACATTTTCCCATCACTCCCACATGGCTCCGACTTTCTCCCTCTCTCCTGTGTGCCCTCCGGTTCTGCCCAGCTCCCAGATGGGCACATCACACTCGTTGCCACAGCACCACCCCTGAGAGCCGACCTGCTCATCAGCCTAATGGATTTCCAAGGGGGTGGGGGAGAGGGGAGGAGAGTGAGTGGCTGATGCTTCTCAGCCACTCAGCTTGGCCCAGAGCTAACGAGGCATCTCAAAATTAAAAAGTGAACTGCAATCCCCAGCAGGCCTGTCCTCCTTTTGGCATTAGTCGGAGTTCTCTTTCTTAAAAAAGAGGACTGGGGAGCCGTTAGTTGCACTTGGAGCCATCGAAGCACCACATCCTGGGGAAGGTGGGGGTGCTGGGACAAGGAGAGCAGCTCAGGACTGCTGGCTCTGAGAAAGGTTGAGAAGCGTCAGACGTAACTCACCATGGTAAGGAGCACAAATGCTCTTCCAGTGTCTCTACACCCAAAGGTTCCCCAGCATCAGCCGCTCTGATCTTGCCCCTCATGCCCTCATCCCTGGGCTGCAGAGGGCTGCAGGGTCTGGCTTGTAGAGGTGCTCTCTGGAGCAGCTCAGCCTGACTCACAGGAAATGGAGCAGTTTCTGCTTTGCTCCAGTCCTGTCCACTTCTCACTGCTGGGCCAGCCCTGAGACATCCCCATGCTGTTCCTCCAGGGCAGATGGCTCTAAGCAGGACGTGCCACCCCTCCGAGATGCTGTCTCAGCCATTTGCAGCTCATCCCAGGGCAGAGCACCAGTGGGTGAAGAGCAATTGCCTCCTCCAGCAGAGATGGCTTATGCCCATTATGCCCAGCTGGAAGACAGCTGAGGGGTGGCAGGACAGTCGGAGTGGCACACAAGAGGGGCTGAAGGGGCAGTGTCCTGGAGAACAGTCCAGTCCTTGGGTTGCTGGGACTGGGTTTCAGCCCAGTCCCACACATCCCTGAGGGACAGCAGGTCTGCACACACATAGCTCACAGAACTTTGCCCAAAATGTGCCTTTTCCAGCAGCACACAGTTTACTGTCACTCTCTCCACAGCAGGGATGTGGGTGAACTGGAAGCCACAAAGGGTCAGATGCATCCTGGCGTGATCCCACTGGATTTCTCCTAGGAATGGATTTGGCCCAAAATCTCGGAGAACTGGTGAGCCCTGGGGACAGCAGTGGTGCAAGGAAGCTTCCACCCCTTTCCCCTGGGCTTGTAATGCTCGTGATTTCCAGCTTTCAGACTCAGCTCTCAGCCCACCCTTCCCTCATCTGTAAATGCTGCAGGAGAAATTTTGTCCAGATTAGCTTATCTTCAGGGGGAGGGGGCCAGACATGCTGAGAGTCAGGGCACCCCTGCGCAATGAGCACCAAAGGCACCATTACTGGTGCTGCCAGCCAGAACTTTGCACTCACAAGCAGAGGGAAGGGCAGGAAAGGGTGAAAGGCAACTGTGAGATGAGTGCAGGAAAGAGAGTTACCATCGTCTTTCTATTTCTCTGCTTGAGTGAGGGAAAATGCAGTTTGTACTTTAGGAATTCAGAGTAAAATCAAATTAAATGCAATGGTTGCTCAAAACCATCCATTTTGCAGTCAGGAAGGACACGGCGCCCACTGAGCCCAGCCCGCGCACCGCACAGACCTGGCAGGGTCAGCAGCACTGCCTGCTCCAAGCCCTGTGCCACCTTGCCTGGGCTGAAGGAAGGGGTGGTCCATGTCCTGAGGGGGCACTGGGATGCCCTGGGGACCTGTCACCAGAGCACACAGGCTGTGAAATGGGCCTGGGCTGCTGGATCTCCAGCCCCACGGCTCCCCGCTGCGCCCCTCTGCTTTGTGCCTCCATGGAGCCAGATGACCTACTGTTTTACTGTATCATAGTCATCTCAGTGGCTTACAAGACGGTTTTCTTGCAGTTTTTATGTCATATCTGCAGTTTTCCTTCTCATAAAATGCGACTGCACCAATTCCTGGGATTTGGGCTGCTCAGCTAATAGGGTCATATCATGTTTCCCAGGCAGAGCCTTCAAATCAAATCCAATGTTCAAAGGAGAGAAGGGAGAGAGGGAACCCCAGTTTCCTTGAAGAGCATTTCAATCCTCCCCAAAGTGTTCCCCACTGCACTGAGGTGACCTCCCAGATGCCTCCTGTTCACTAGAGAGGGATGAGCATCTCCCCCACCCCACAGGGCCATGAGACACCTGAAAGCCCCTGCCTCACCCTGGGGCAGGGTGTGCTGGTGAGGGCGTTGGGGACAGAGTGCGTGGGGAGGGAGGGCAGTTTCTGCCAAAGAGGAAGTGGCAGTGAGTGGATGGGGGCAGGTTTGGATGACATGCAGGGAAACCAGAGGTTTCAGGGAGAGATGGGTTCATTTGTGGGGTCAGGGGAAACTGGAATACACTGAGGCGACTTCAAAACCTGATGAAAACAGTGGGCATGTTGTCCCACCTCCAGCTTCAAGGAACTCTGGATCAGGCCCTTTGGGAGAAAACTCCTCCCTTGTATCACTACGGACTTGGCCCTGGCATTTCTCCCTCTGAAGAGGACAAGCATGAATCTGCTTCCTAGCAGTCGTCCAGAGAAGGACATCTCAATGGGGTTCCTGTCCTCCTGCAGACTGAAGATCTCCCAGTCCCACACATCTCCTCGTGAGGAGGAAATAGCTCTGCCCAGAAAAGACTGAAAGAGCCAAGCTCAGCAGGCTGAAGCCAGATGTCCTCCAAAACCCCTCCCCCTGTGGTCAGCTGTGGTTCTCCGCTGCCTGCCTGCTCCTCTCCAACAAACGGACCTCAACTGTACCCTGGAGTACGACAATACCCAAGGATTATTTCATGTTTCATCTCCACCAGGATGACAAAGAGAAGGTTCTTCCTGCTCTCCTTTTCGCTCACAAGACACAAGCGAAGAGTTGCAGATCCTTGCATCTCCTACTGAATTAGCAGTGATGCTTCCAGCTCCCCATGGAATATTTTATCCTATATTGTTGCTGAGAGAGCAGCTTGGCACACTGGCCAACAGCCTTGCCAATGGACACCCCAGCCCTCACTGGGGAAAAGAGCTAAAAAATCTGACGTTGGAAATAGAAGCTGAGGAGGGTGACCTGATGGAGGAAAGTTTGGAGTAGAGGAAAAGCAGAGTGTCTCTGTCCCACCAAAACATCCCCAGAAACATCACGCTGTGGACAACCTGCAGCTGTCTGCAGAATTGGTTACAGCAGGAGGAGAGGAGCTGGTGAGAGGAGTAGGGAAACAAGGAGAGAAACACGAGGGAGGAGGCAAGAAGGAGATGGGGCTAGCAAACTGGGTGGGGGAGAAGTCAGGTGGGAGCTTTTCAGGAGGTCTGCGTGTGTTGCGAGCAGCCAAGCCACGCACAGACACGCGCCGGCCCCCGTGCTCTGCTCCTCGCGACTGGCCGTCACCGTACCTCCAAAGTCAGGCCTGAGGCGGACGTCATAGCCCTTCAGCAGTTTGTCCACAATCTCTTTCACCACAGAAATATTCCCAGTGGATGGGCTGAAAGACAGAAAAAGAGAGTCCTCGTCATCCCATGTGCCACCGGCCCCCGCAGGATGGGGGTCCCATCTGGGCAGCACTGCCAGATCATCCCTTGTGCCTCACAGCACCAGAGCACCTGCGTGTGCTGCAGACACCCCAGCCGTGGGCACAGCCTCCCCTTCTCCTTTCTCACTCATATTTTCTGTCCCTGGTGCAGCTCTTGGCCCCCGGTCCCCACGAGTCCCACAGGGCTGCCAGGGGTCCCAAGCCATCCTTGGGGTGGCACAGGAGACTTTGCAGGTATTTTGTCTCCTTTTCTGCAGCTCATCCTGACTGCTGGGTACTCCAAATTCCATCACCCCATGCTGCTTCCTGGTGCCTACATCCCAGAGAACGGTACCCCCCTCCACACCGGCACTGCTTGCAATGCACACCCTCTCCCCAGCCACCGATGGACGCACTGGGGGTGCCTCACTGCGCCCTGCCCATAGGTGGGTGCACTCCCCCCACTCCCAGGCAGAAATCACCCTTTCTGTTCCACCAGGGCACGCTAGGGGCGGCTGCTTCCCCTCTCTTGCAGGACTCTCCCCCCTTCCCCTGCCATGCTGGGCACTCACTCCTGGTCTCACACCTCACAGCACAGACTTGCCACACACTGAGGTCCCCACTACACAAGTCCCCCACCAGCAGGCACCCTGCACTGCCACACACCCCAGTGCAACCTCTGCTTCTCAGTGCACTTCAGGTATTTCTTCGTATTATTGAAGTAAAGGTAAAAATGACGCTCCTTTTGTCCTATGGCCTCAACACACGGCTGATCTTTGGCATGTAAAAATTCATTTTCTGTCACTTAGCATCGCTGTGACTTCTTAGCAATGCAAATCGAAAAGCAGAGACGGGGAAGGAGAATCCATCTTTTGCTCTCAGTGCCAGGGCAGCGATCCTTTCCCTCCCAACCCTCTGACTTGCATGTGGGGGGAAGCAGCTGTTCCCCCTAACACTGATCCAGCTCCTCCAGCTATTTCAACAAGAAGGGAGCTCCCTCTAATAACAGCCCAGGAGCCAAAGCAAAACTGATGGTGGCAAACCAGAAAGCAGAGGATGCTAAAAATATTGAGCCTATTCGGTGCTGCGGGGTACATAGGTTTTCTGCCTGAAAGCCCAGCCCCTGTGCCACCCTCATCCCCTGCTTTGCATGAGAATAGAGACCCTGCTGGTGACAACTGCTGCTCTTGGAAGTCACCCACCACAACAGCATGTCTCCCTGTCAACACCGCTTCCCGCATCCAGCCAAGTCCAGCTGGAAAGCTGCGCTCCCTCTGCTAGCCAGCCCCTGCCTCGCTGGGCACCGGGGTTTGCGCTGACATGTCCGTGTGTCTGCGCACACACATGGACATGGACACGGAGACGCGTGCTCTCCAGACCTTACAGAGGATTTACGGGCTCTCTGCCTGTGCACACAGACACATGAAAGCGCTGGAGCTCAAGGGTACAGCTGCGTAACGTGCACAAATGTGTGTGTGTGTGGCCGCAGCCAGGTCTGCGTGGAGGTGTCTGTGGGTGCACATCTTGCTCCATCAGGTTATGACGAGACTTTGGGCTGTGGACACATTTTATCCAGGAGCACAGAAATAGGTGTTTGTGGGTGCCTGAGTCTGGGTTCCCAGGTGCCCAGACTCGGCATAGGTGTGGGTGGAGGCATGTGGGACCACTGGGGAGTCTGGGCATGCGTTAAGGCTCTGGATGCAGAGGCTGTGTATATGCAGAGATTTCTCAGCCGAACAGGAACGTGTGAATGTGAGCCAGCACGCTTCCCAGGCCCAGCTTTGGTGCACGGACAAACCTTTCAGCACTTGGGCTGGGGGGGCAGCGAAGTGTCTGAGCTGTGCTCCTGAGCGGGCACCTTACAGAGGTGCAGCTCTACATTGCATTGCTTCATTCACTGTAAAAAGGCCAGAGACGTGTGCACAGGTGGATGTTTTCACAACATTGTGTCTAGGCTTGTGAGGTCCTCTTGCACCTGTGGATTTCTATGCAGGTATGTGAGGTTTTGCAGCATGCTTATGTATATATGCTTACTGTGGGTTGATAGTGTGCACCAGCATTTGTTCACCTCTAGACAGTCATCACTAGGCACATAGATTTCCATATTCATAAATTTCCATATTAATAATATAGACACCATGTATTTCTCAAGAGATTTAGACAGTTCTGTTGAGCTTCACACAGGACATAAACTCAGGAAGCAGTGTTACCTCCTTAATATAGGCAAGGAAATTGAGCCAGAGACAGTAACCAAAGTGCCAGGGCCCTGCAGAAAGTGGCAGAGTGGCAAAAGGGATGCGGGGGCTCTTTCCTCCTCATCAGATACAAGTTGGCCCAGTGAGGGCATCAACTGGCATCGTGATTAAGGGCAAAGTCTCTTGCCTCTCAGTGCTCCTTTTGATCCAAAAAAAGCCACATCCTTCCCGCTGAACAGGCAAGTTGTGCATTTGCCCAGCTGTGGGCTAGCAGCTGCGTGTGTTATTCCTGGTAAATGTGGATCTGCATCCGCTTAGGGAGCATGTACATCCAGCCTGTGAACTGAATTTTTGAATACTATGTCCCTGATTCTGTGTGAGCGTGCATGTGTTTTGCATATACTATACACTTGCAGCCAGACATCTACATGTATGTGCACCGTGCTGCTGGCTGGGATGTGTGGGAGTAGCTCAAGGCATGTGCATATGGGAGAGTGTTATGTCTCCAAGGTGTGCACAGATATACATGCAGACTAGAGGTGAATATCAGTCCTGGACGTAAGCAGATATAAATATACATGCAAGGACACATCTGAGCAAAGGTTTTTGATGTGGGCATTGCTCTTTACACATTTGCTTGGACATTGTCTCTAATGCCTGTGTATGTGTTCATACACAGTGAAACCATGCATGAATGATGTGGGTAAGGTGGGCATGAATCTGAGCATGTGCGTATTTATAACTATGGGAACATAAATCTTTGTACATACAGATCTGCAAGGCTGTGCAGGGACCTGCATGTGTGCGTCGGGAACGCACTGCTCAGTGTGCATGGCTGAGCAAGGAAATGCCATGGCTCCCTCCCCGTCAGCACAGAGGTACAAACCCACCTGCCCACATGTGTGAGAGGGGAGGGCGAGGAGGAGTAGGCAACACTGCTCCTGTGTGTGAAGGCAGAGGATGAATGCCTGTGTCGGAGCAAACAGGTGTGCTCTGTACACCTTGTCCAGGCTGGATGAGTGCCTGCATCTCTGGTTGCTTGGATCGCTTGGTGTGCTCAAGGCATACCCCAGGAATAGCTGCAGCTTGAGGATGCGGGGCATTAGTGCCCACACTTGCATGGCTACAGGCAAGGCAGGTGAAGCGTGCTGTGCTCTGTGGGCGTGCTGCGATACACATGTGTGTGCACCTGAACGAGCACGGATGAATGCGCACATGCAGGGATGTCTCCGAACGGATCACACCCACGGATGGCTGTGTTGCATGCCATAAATCTGCGTGGAGGCACAGACGTAGGCATCGCCTCCCTCACACCGCAGAGCCAGGGCTGTGGTACAGGCACGGCACGCTCAGATGCGAGCGTTGGTGCGTGTGTACCGTGTGTGTGCAGACACAGGCATGGCCCAGGCAGCCCCGTGCCCGGGTGCGTGTGCACACAGCTCAGTGCCGTGCACTCTCGCGGCTCCTATGGACACCATGTTCCCAGCAAAATGCTTCGTTTTGCCATTTTCCCCCGGGTTGCCTACAGAGGGGGGGACGGGGACGCGCTGCAAGTGGGCTGCGAGATGGGCTCCGTCCGCAGAGACCCCGCTCCACATCTCATGTATGAGCAGCCCTCCTCCCCCTGGAATGACACGGGCTGGGAAATAACAACCGCAGGCAGCAGGGGAAGCAATATGGGGAAAGGACCCCCTCCCCTTTCTCACATACAGATCAATGGAGAAAACCCCAAACAAAATAAATAAACAAATCCTGTATCAGCCCCCCTGTCCCTGCAGCCTGGGATCGCAATCCTTACCTTTGCGCACAGCAGGCGAGACAAAGAGCTGCTAAAGCAGAGACAATTCCACTCAATCTGTCTGCCTGAAATGTCCACATTTCCACAAAGACGAAGGATGGAAAAAAAAATCTTTGGAGGGGAGGGGAAAGAAGGATGGATCTTCTGAAATCCCCCTCCAAAAAAAGGGGGGGAGGGAAAAAAGAAACCAACCCCCCCCAGTTAATGATTTCCTAGAGAAAAAGAATAATGAAAAAAAACTAAAAAATGTGGGGGAAAAATTTCCCCCCCCCTCCTTCAGTGCCAGTCAAATAATTCGTTTCTTCTTCCCTTCAGCATCCTCTCAACAAGAGACATCCTCTGGCAATGGAGAAAATCCCAAGAGAAAGAAAAATAAAATGCCCCAAAATGGGCTCAGCAAAATGTGAAATCGAATCTCACAGGTACACAGAAGAAGGATAAGAAGAAAAAAAACCACAAAAAAAATAAAAGAAAAAGAAAAAAAAAGAACTCAGTGTCCCCTGAGCACTCCACTTGGATTATTTTTCCTCCTGCTCTTTTGCCATCCGGTTCTGCAGATGTTTCATGGCTCCTGCTATCCACCTTCAGA